TAAAGTACTTTGAGTGCTCAGATAGAGTAGAAAAGCGCTAAATAAGAACCAGTCAATTTACCATTCACTCCCGGTGACCTTAACCTCGAGGTCAGAGAAAGTTTTCTGAAAATCCTGTGAATGTAATAACTTGAGAACAAGGTCACATAAGATTTCAAAATTGGTACCATAGGTGTGTTTACTAGGAGGCTTCCTTTGCTCCTTTGTCAACCAGTCTGTGCACTGTTGTCTAAGGTTATGAGTAAATGGAGCCATCTGGAAAACCTTTGTGCCCCCTTTTAGTGATAATTCTTAAAGCACTGTGATGAACAGCATTTAGCGATCTTGAATGTATTGACCTTGTATGCTTTTGCCACATGTGATTGTTTGTAACCAGCTGACTTCCATAAGTGTGTTTAACATTGAGCAATGATATTTGGTGGATAAGTGCTCCCTATCTTATCTGTGTCTAACAGGACAGGCTGCTCAACTTGAGCTTTCTGAGGCTCTTTAGAGCTGCTCGACTCATAAAGCTGCTGAGGCAGGGATACACCATTCGCATTTTGCTGTGGACCTTTGTTCAGTCTTTTAAGGTGCTCATAAACAGTACAATGCTTACACATTCTTGACTAGCCCTGATATTCACATTTTCTGTACACTTCCAAAGCCACATACAGTAATTTCCTGCACACACTTCTACACTGCCTAGAAGAACTCAGAGTGGGTATTTAAAATGAAATACGTTTTGTTTCCTGTTGTTCCCTTTAGGCCCTGCCTTATGTTTGTCTACTGATTGCCATGCTGTTCTTTATCTACGCCATCATTGGAATGCAGGTGTGTGATGCTACTCGGTCAGAGAATGTGATATTCATGCAGTAATTTACCATTACAATATTGTGGCCTGAATCCATGTTTCTGCTCTAGGTGTTTGGCAACATTGAGCTGAATGAGGATACAGCTATAAATCACCACAACAACTTCCGCACATTCCTTCAGGCTCTCATGCTACTGTTCAGGTATACATAACTTAAATATATACATTGGTCCATAAGCACATTAAGCAAATAGTTTTATCACTCAGTCGTAAATGCTGATCGGGTTTGCTGTCATCTCACCAGGCAGTTTATCAATGTGATAGTGCCTTAAGATCGCTGTTCAATGATTGTCATTCACAGTGGACATAGATGGCCTATTTTACTTGTTTCCAAACCATCTGTCCTCTGGGTCCAAAGTATGAACATTGGTAGCCTCCAAAGAGTGTCCTTTATCCTTTAGCTCCAGATGTACAGCTGAGTCTTGTTGTGTCGAGGGGGCTCTTATATGTTGAAGCCATCCATTTATGGAGTGGCTGTTTGGTTGCTCCAACGTAGAGGTCCAAGCGCTCCTTGCTGCACTGCACATCATACACTTTGTTGCTTATTTTGTGTTTAGGAGCAGCAAACAAAAATGTCAGTACAAATATTTACTGAGTGTACATTCCCAGTTTCCCATACAGTTCCCAAAAGTTTAAGACCACTTGAAAAATGGCAGAAAATAATATTTTCGATGATTGGAACTTTTTATTAGCTGTAAAACAGCTGATGTTTCAGTTTAAGTGGTGTTTCTAATAAATTGCATGCTCACAAAAAAGTTTTGTCTCACTCCTATTTCTTCTTGTTGCATGTTGAAGCGCTACTTGGAACCTTGTTAAGGTCCAACCATCCGGGCACTTGGTTATGGCGTTCCATCTTGCACCCTGCTGTTATGTGCAGGATTGTCTCAGGGGCATCTTTACACAGCCTTCACCTGGGGTCTTGCCTGGTATGGCAGACGTGAGCACGTGGTTGGTTGGGGCCATCTTCCTGATATTTGTTGTCTCATCCTGGACCGTGGTGCTAACACTCACCAGTTCCCGGCCTCCTTCCTTCCATTTAGCATACAGCTTCAGGGTGCTGGACTTGGACTGAAACCCTCCATGAATGATCAGGAGCTTCCTTGTCTTGATGTCAGTGGCCTTCTATGTCCTCCTTTCCCCAGCTTATTGTCCCAGCAGGGTTAATCCCCATCTTCTCGATCTGATACACCAGATCGTGTTCTTACCGTTCAGCTGACTCATCAGGACTTGCCTGACCCTCTGCAGGTACTTGGTGGTTGCAGCTTTCCCAGCAGCCTCATCATGGTTTCCATTTTCTGTGGGATCCCCAGGTATTTGTAGTGGTCCTTTATGTCTGCATTGTTGCCTAGTTCGATCCCATCAGTTCTGACTACCTTCCCTCTCTTTGTTATTGTTGGGTCTGTGTTTCCACAAGCCCCGCTAGTTTAGAGACTTATTCATCATGAAGAACACAAGACAATCAATCTCCTGGAAGCCTAATAGCACAGCTCTCTGCGCGATGTCTGTTGTGCTGAAGGTGATCTCTGATCCTCCTGAAGCCTCTCTCCTGGCCTCAGCTTCCATCTTGTGGACAATCTTCCTTACTTAGGGGCAACCGTGGCTCAGGGGGTTGGGAAGCGTATCTGTAACCCGGGCTCTCTGTCCTGGTCGTTGTGTCCTTGGGCAAGACACTTTACCCTAACGCCTACTGGTGTTGCCAGAGGGGCCGATGGCGCAATATGTCTGT